ACCGACTGAGGTATGTAGCTCTTTTTCAAAAGTGTCCTGGCCACAAATGATAGCTCAACGAAGTGGCTTATCACGTGGAAATATATTGCAGCCAAATACTCTTAAATGGATGTTTATAAATGTGGAGGGATAACCCGGAAGATCCAGATACAAATCCACACGACCACGGGGAGAGAGAGAACATGCAAATTCCAAATATACAGGTGTCAGGGTCGGGATCGAACTCACGAACTCCTGCATATCAGGCGAGTTAGTTAACATCTCGCCACCGTGGCGTGTTGAGCAGGGCTCTATCGTTTATATTGAGTGCTCTTGCCAATAACAGCAATGTGTCGAGCAGGCTTAACTGCGGAGATCTATGGCGAACAAAACTGGTCCAGTTCGCCTGCTAAAACAAAGAAAAACTGCTGAATAATATTGAAACTCGACAGTCGTCAACAACACTGCCCTTAAAAGTAAAATAAATATATACTTGGCGACGTTTCGGGCAATGGCCTTTCTTCATAACACATACACGGGTTTGATGTTTTTTTGTGTGACATAAACAATGGCTATTGTCTGCAACGTTGCTGCTTGTTTTGTTTTAAGGCAGTGTTGTTGACGAATGTTTTGCGTTTGCTGTTCATTCTACTTGTACACCATTTCCAAGGCAACGTCCTCCAATAAAGTTGATGAATATTGTCCCAGAGAGCCAACGAATTTAACTACGTTATTTATTTACATGTAGAGACAGAACGGAGTTCCGTTTCTATGTACTTTTACTAGCAATGCGTCACGGCTGAACATGAGTTTCTAGGGTTACATATGTATGTTGAATTTATTTCGCACTGTACATAACCAACCGTGCTCATCGGATGTGTGGGAATGAACAAACTAAATACAAACAACAATTCTCAATGAGATTTCGATCTACATTTAAAATTGCATAGTTCCAGTGGCTTCCTAATATCAGATGAGGGTTCCAGACGGCCGCAGAAGCGTATCTTGTTGACATCGATGATTACATTCAGGACCCTTGTTTGCAGAACTTGCCACGTTCCCCTAAGACTCCTGAGTCTGTCATTGTTCTAAAACAAACTATGAATTATACATTTTATATAAAAGGAAAGATTATCCTCGACTAGACTGACCATATAAACACACTGTCGTTGACAATAATAGGATTGAAAACAGATATAAAGATGCAATTAATGTTTTTGCCCAAGTTTTATGAATGATTTTCCCTCGATCTGTACGGCATCGTCGGGACTGTGGAATGCTCATAGGTCTCTTTGACGCAGATCCACAATACCACGTGTTTCTTTTAAATGCGTGCGTAGCTCCATAGGATGCACAAGGCGAGTACAGATTTAAATAAAACATTTAGCAACCAAGACTCCCCCTGCTGACAAACATACAATGCAGATTTATACATGGCATATAAATACAAGCACATCTCAAGGTGCTGTAAAGAATTTTAGGGGGGGCATCCTGATCACATTTTATTGGGACATACGGAAATTGGCAGAGGCAAAGAGGGTACAAGGGAAAGTGACCTCCCAACGAGCAAAGGTTGACGGTGGGCCTTTCACTAAATGCCTTGGTTGCTGGAGCAGTGTGTGGATAACACGAACACAGTGAAGACGAAAAAAAATCTCACCTGTTGCCACGTTGTACCGCTGGACCGGAGGTGATGGGCAAGGCTTGGAAACGTCATTGGCATCATGAGTGGCGCGCACGCGTAGGCGTGGCTTGCAGGGGGTTTCCTGCCTTTGGAAGGCCGGATGTGGAGAGTCGGCCTGCACTTACATGTTTCCCTCGCTTTATGCGACGGTAGTAGATGCGTTCCCAAAAAATGGCGCACAAAGCGAAACCGCACGCACCAGCTGCCTGCCGAGCAGCGAATGCAGCACGCACAAATATTGTTCCACATTAAAACCCAACAAGATTGTTTTAATTTAATGTTACCAGGTAAAGCCCACCGAGCTATGTAGCTCTTTTTCAGAAGCGACCTGGCCACAAATGATCGCCCAACGACGTGGTTTATCAAGTGGGAATTTATAGCAGCCTGATAGTCGAAACGCGTGTTTCTAAATGTGGAGGGGAAAACCGGAGGACCTGGAGAAAAATCCACGCTACCACAGGGAGAACGTGCGCGACTGCAAAGCCGCATATGAGTGACTTCAAACCTTACATCGCGAATTTTGGGTAGAAATAGGGTAGCCCCATCACGGCGAAATTGCACAAACCGAAACCCACATAAAGCCAGAAAAACCTTTGATCGTCCACAAAAAAGGAGACGTTTATAACATTTAATTGATATTATCGATTCAATTATAATCTAGTCATCCTAGCTCACGTCACAAGGACTGGAATTTGGGAAACCCTGGGGTGGAGTTTTTGTTGTATCACCCGTATTTGTATACTGGCAGAGGGTGCATAAGTCCCGCACGGGTACCTTCATAAGTGAATACTACTTCAGGTTCCTCCAATAACAGAGGGAAGGGCACAACCCAGGCTGATTGAAGCAAATGTAGCTGTTGCGTTTGTAATTATTGAGTCCCACAAATTAAGAGCCACTGTGTATAAGCGTCTTGATAATACAATCCCAATAGAATCCACTTAAGCAAAATGGAAGTTATATTTCTTGGACATGCAATGAGAAAACAAGAGACTGAATATAATATTTTGACTGGGAAATGTATAGGTACAAGAAGCTGGAGAAGACCGCAAATCAAGTTACATCAGCAAGTTTAACAATTGGATGCAACTGGGCGTAAATGGAGGCCATGATCACAGACATCTTTGACAAAGGAAATGGCATGACAGAATTCACGGGCGATTTCAATTCACTTGCCGGATGAAGGCCTCCCCACCACATGTCGGTTGTGGGGATTGCTTGCCCATTCTTCACCTCGCTGGTCAACGCTGATTGAAGGGGTTCCGAGGTACCCACACCTGTTTAGAAAATATCAATCGCCACCGATGTTAGCCATGGTTAAGATTCAAACTCAGGGTCGTAACATTCGCATGCTCAAATGAGCAGCGAGTGGCACTCATCGTCTGCAGTCCTGAATAGGTTGTAGAAATCCCACATTCCTTTGAGTGGGAATTTCATTTATATCGCCTGAATGTAACTCACAATGCGCTCCAATTTCTGGTGTGTCAAAAGACGGTGACATAATACTGGTAGGAACCTCCTGGTTACACCAGCCCACAGGGGATTATTGTGTCCGTCCGTCGTGCAGGGAGGAGCTGGGTGGGGAGGGTGTGGGGCTGGGTGGGGAGTGGGAGGGGTGGGGCTAGGTGGGGAGGGGCTGGTCACCCCGTGGTGCCCTTATAAAACTCAACGTTTAACCTACTCACGCCGGCTTGTGCCCGCCCTCACAGTCGGCCATATTTGCGGAATACACCACGCCGCCGTTGACCCTGGCCATTGACCGAGCAACCCAACGTTCCTACCAGCTCCCTCCGCAGGAATGTTATATATAGCCTGCTCTTTTGGAATACCAGTGTTTAATATCCGCTTCGTATTATAATTCATCTGCGACGTGGTTTGGGTTACTCTGGGAGCTAATATCAAATCATACGTAGCCAACCGTGCTAATCGGAGGTGCAGGGGAAGGGCAAACTAAACACAAAAAACAATTAAAAGAGCACCGAGCTGCAACCACTTAGATTCTGGGTTTGAATCCAAGAAATTGAATCTCAGCCTGGCCACCTAATGACTGGGGTACCGCAGTGGCAAAATGTTAACGAGCTCACCTGGTATATAGGTCATGGGTTCGATTCCAACCCTGACGCTTGTATATTTGGAGTTTGCATGTCTCTGTGGTCGTGCGGATTTTCCACCGGCTTTTCCCTCCAGTTAGAAACAAGCATTTAGACGCGGTCCCCAACCTTTTTGGCACCAGGGACCGGTTTCGTGGAAGACAATTTTTTTACGGACCGGGGGTAGGGTCATCATTGGGTCTTTCCCCCTTTTCAAAGCTCTCCAGCATCGTTTGTTTTTTACTCATTATGGCTAGGGGTTATCTTGTGGGCTTACCAAAACTGTGACAAGTGCGCAGTGCGGGGAAAGAGGCGCGGACGGAAGTGGTAAATAAAATAATTGGTGGGCCACGCGGACTCACCGCTCATTCCTGCTGTGCGGACCAGTTCCTAACAGGCCACGGACCGGTACCGGTCTGCTGCCCGGGGGTTGGGGACCCCTGATTTAGAGGATTCAGCAGCTATCCATTTCCACAATCCACTTCATTGGACTATCATTGGTGGCCAGTTCATTTGTGAAAAAGTTAAAGAGCTCAGTCGGCCTTACCTGGAAAAATAAAAAGTTTAGTCGACTGGAAAAAATATATTAGAATGAATTTGGTCTGTAGCTTACTTCGGCTCTGGGAATTGAAGGTTTTACTTGATATATGGGGAACACCCTGTTCAAGAAATGCAAAACGTGTTCCAAGCGCCAAGAGGCATTTTGAAGAGACTTCTAAAGTTATTCTGTGACAAAATCTTTTGTAGCCATTCTCAAATATAAGCCTGGTGCACTACTTGATGTTTACTATCCTGTCAAGACAATGCTCCACTATTCGATATTTTAAAAGGGAACATCATTTTACTTTTTTTTATCCAATAACCGATTTATTTATCCACAAAACACACTCTTTTCAATGTGAACACAAATGTCACGCAATAAAGATCCCCATATAGTCTTAACAAACCGTTGTAGCAAGTGCTATTAGCGAGCACCAATGAAGGCCGGCACGGCACACAAGGGGTTAGGTGACCAGCACTACGCCCACCTACCATTGTCTCCCCAGCGGCAATGTTTATACATTGCACCACTACTCATTGGGGCCGAGTCAACCTAGGGGAGGCTTAGGATCGGTTCAAATAATCGTCACTGGTGTTGGCCGTGAGTGGGAATCAAACTCAGGCCACCGGGTTTGTAGTGCAACGCGATAACCGCCGCACTGCCGCTCCCCACACACGTTCACGCACACAAACATCACAAAAACAACAGGTTTTCATTAAGCTTATTTTAATAACTCAAACTAAGTTAGCAAAGCGTAAATATCAACTACAGTACACAAATTAAAAAACACAATCTAAAACCTAAAAATCATGTAAAATTTCAAGAGTTAAACTGAAAATGTAGTTTTGATGACAAAAACCCAAATTTGGAATTCAAGTGTTCTTCGAGTACGTGTAGGTTTTTCTCCATACTCCCATTCCTCCAACAAAAATACTCAAAAATATATTAGCTAAACATCTCAAACAGCACCATTCTGAAAGTCTTGAGACTAAACGAGCCTTTCATAGGTAAACATTATCGAATGCTTGCAATGTTTTGTTTAACGTATATGGTTTTTGAGCAATGTTGTATTCGTCCTGCATTTGCGACAATTTCTGAATGTGGGCGAAACATTTCCTGGGTTTATTGAACACTTTGGTATCTTATAAGGCTGACTTTATTTCACTTCAATACTTTCTCAACGCAACTAACGAGGCAGTTTCAACCTCCAGTATCTGATCTTATTAACTCTTGTTACGTTACTAAATCAGCTGTATTGTTTAAACAGCTGACATCACGTGTACCAAACTTGATAAAGCAGATTTGTAAGCAACCCAGCATTTAGGTTTGGTCTATCGATGCTCAACGTATCGTTACTGAAATCTTTCGATCCCCTCTATTGTCCATATCTTGTCTTGGCTTCTGCAGAATATGCACTGTTACACTACAGGCAATCTAGAAAATGGCAGCCAGACTTCACACTGAGCAAGTCACCTCCAATCCAGAAATCCACCCACTGGCTCCCTGTCCATCTAAGTATTGCCTGCAAAATAATATTTCCAATATCCTTTATGGATTCATCTCCCCCGCTTCTCATTACACGATCCTCCTCATCCCCCATTTTTCCAGTAACCATCTCCTAATGCCATCTGTCCAACTTCACTCAAAGGGTGGGAGGCAGGGTTACTCCTCCTCTGCATCCCTGCCTGTAATTGTCCTCATCAGCGTTGCCAGCTCCCCCCCCACCCCAACTTAAGACCTCCTTTAAATGAACACCTAACTTTGCACTCTGATTACGATTCACTATTACAACTGACTTCTGTGTAATTTTTAATACTGCAGAAACTCATCATCCCTCTCAATCTTTTTCTTTGGTGCCCTGCCTTAACGGCAGCTCCTTAGATGCAATAATCTCCATCCTATTCTCTGCCCTCTTTATTTCCACAAGACCCTTCCTTCGGCTTTTACAACATCCCAATCCTCAGCCTCTCATTATTTTCCCATCCATTCTTCCCTGTACAATATCATTTATCAAAGCATCCTCTTGTAGAATGTGTCCTATCCAGTTCTTCTCCATCCTTCTGATGACTTCCATTATCATTATTTTGTTGATGCCATTAAAGATGTCTTCGTTGGTCTTCTCTTTCCAGCTCTCGCTCTCTCGACATCACTGATGAGCAACTCAGATGAGTCAGTGGGACACACGAGCGGCCCTCCTTCACATCAGTGGGCCACAAGCTTCAAAACTTGCTTGTCCACTCATCATGCCGTCATACATCACCCGAGACACACTTGGATCAGGCCACCACGAGGGGCTCCACAGGTCGTAGGTTGCCCACCACTGGCTCTAGATCCTTCTCCACCTTATTCCATCCTTTCTCAGTCTTCACATTTCCGCTCCAGGCAAAGAAGCGCTCCGCACCTTCATCTCAACTATCTTCCTTTTTTAGTTTCACGGATTGTTCTTGCCAACTCTTTCTTTCTTGCCAATTACCTGATTCACCATATCAATCCTTGACCTTAATCGCACACATCCATTTTCCATGAGATATGCTCCCAAGTAACTGAATGTCTTCACCTGTTCTACCAGTTGTCCAGTAATCAGAATATTCATTCTTCCTCAACCTAAACCTTGAAGTAGTAACCCCTCATCCTATTCAATAATAGTAAAAAAATTGCCACAAACGTTTCTACCCATTTTCACAACCTGTGTTGCACTGCTCTAAAGCGTTTTGATTAGATGTGGCGTTCAAAAGCGGTGCGAGTTTGATATTATATAATTCAAAATAAAAACTGCTATAACAACTGGGTTTCCAAACAAAATGCACGTTGATGCTTGCTGTATTTTACCGTCACCGTTAACCATCACCTCACATGGATCAATGGAGCGCCTCGTATGATAATAAGAGTGGGGGGCCATTTTGGAAACTGTCACCAAGCCAAATGAGTGCAGTATAGAGAAAGGAAGAACCTTGTTTCCTAAACACATCACGGATTTTTCTCCAGTTAGCGAGGCAGGCGCACATCTGACTGAGCGCTTGACAATATGAAATGAACCCATCAAGAAAAAAAACACCAGTTTGAAACGATAAACAAAAAGGTTAACAGTTACAAGCCTGCAGACTGTGGCGGGTGGGCACATGCTGCTTCAGTTAGGTCGAGGGTGGCACACGGTAGGCACACTGAATAATCAACAAGGAAAATGCAACTGGGGCGTTTCAACACAAAGTGCTGGTCAACACCCCGATGCTCGACACTGATCTAAGCTGGCATGCATAAAGCATTTCCCTTTTTGTTCACCGTGTGTTTTACACATTCATGCGCATTCAACACAAATTGAATCGATCCTTTAACTTGAGAAATGTAAACATACGTACGTACACACTCTCCAATAGAGCTCAAATGATATGTGATAACCCGTCACTTGCATGAGCACCCACAAACTGGGCAACAAGGTTATGCCATCAGTACAGGCAGTAGGCTTCTAACAAATTACCCGTGTTGACTTGTGTGTTCTCCTCTAGTACGCACCAGTTTTCTCTAGGCACTCCAATTTTCAGCCACGTGCCAAAACACTCCCAAAACATAAATGGCTTATCACGTTCGGCACTCTCTTGAAAATAAATCTCGCCTTAAGACTCATCGATGTTTGCTTGCAAGTAATCCAGACAACGTTCTAGTCCACTATCCTATCACAACGCCAAAGCTGATTTTTCCCCACCGCTGGCTGTTCACTTGCTTGGCGTGCACAAACACAAAGTGTACCAAGGACAGTTTTAGGTCCGGATTTATGCCACACTTTTCCCATTTGGCAGCAGTTATGTAGATGCCACTACTAATTCTGCATTCAGATGTTCATTTTCAATTCCTGCCATTGGCTCAGTGTGGCCTGTGATGTGGATGCTTGCGAACGAAGACAATGTAAAAGACATGAGCCCTCAATACAATTGTGCATTATATAAAATGGACCATAAAAAAATTAAACGTGCCAGTGATCATCACGTGTATTTTTGTTGTAAACTTGCAACAAGGTAATGCTTTTACTGGCAGCAATTCTGACGACACACACGTGAAGATATATGGACGGATTTGAGTTGGACCACAGAGCAACTTTTATACTTCAGTGTTAGTGACTGTCATTCGAAGATAATAAACACCTACGTCACAACAGCAATAAAAACAAAAAACATCAACTCAACCACTAATGGGGCACCATCAGGAAATCCGCCACGTTTACTTCTAAGCAGATTTAGTCTTTGCTGCCGGTCTGCCTCGCTTAGGGGCCGACTTGCCTGGCTTGGCTTGGCTCTGACCGCCCTGCGAGGCCTTAGTGGCCACTGCCTTCCCTCTTGATTTTCTGGCGCTTGCCTTGACGCTCAGCTCCTCCTCGATGCGGCCTCGTATGGCCACCTCCAGACGCTGAGACGCGCACAAGCACAACACAAGCGCACGCATGCTTCATTTAACACCAGCAATGCTACGTGTTGTTCACCAGCCATGCCACTGGAGCTAAGTACAAAACTTAAGTGGTAAAAATTTGACCTGTTGCCCGAGTAGGCATTTCTCACATGAAAGAAACTGGTCAAGTTACATCATGCGACCTCCTTTGCCAGTACCAAAATATGAGAATAGGTTTTCCCCTTTTAACTAGCAACGAAACAGGTGTTTAGATGTCACAACACCAAACTGAAACCTTTTACAAGGAATCATGTTTAAATTAACCACAATACTTGTGGTCAGAATGCAAACAAAAAACATACTCTGATAATATATGCATTGTCTTTGAAACTGATTGATGTGGACCACTGATTGGTGTGGACCAATCAGTTTCAAAGACAATGCATATATTATCAGAGTATGTTTCTTGTTTGCATTCTAACCACAAGTATTGTGGTTAATGCAGACATAATTCCTTGTAAAAGGATTCAAGTTGGTGTTGTAACATCTTCACACTTGTTTTGTTGCCAGAAAAAAGGGGAAAACCTATTCTCAATCTGGTCCAGTGTAAACAAAAACATTTTGAAAACGTTTATCAATAACACTGCCTTAATAGGAAATATATAAACATGAAATCACCAATGTTTTGGGTAATGGCCCTTTTTCATGTGCTATGATGAAGGGCCAATGCCCGAAACGTTGCCAATTATATATTTTATTGTGTAAGGCAGTATTAATGAAGAGCATGTTGAATTTTTTGTCATTTGTGCTTGTGCATCACTGCCAACCCACGGTCGCCAAAATAAGCTGTTCGGTGTATTTTGTCCAAACCATATGGTATGAAAAATAAGAGGTAGGAAAAGTGGTCTTGGGTAGGACATGCCACTCAAAAGGATGATGGTTAATAATGTTGATGGGAGACAAAAGTACGACCACTGAGGAGACGGAGGGATGAAATGAGCTTGTGTGCAGGCGCTAAGGGGGATATAGTTGCATGACAGAACCACGAGATGACGATGGCTTGGGGAGGATTAATCATGTAGATTAATCATGTAGATTAATCATGTAGATTAATCATGTAGATTAATCATGTAGATTAATCATGGCTGATCATGATGACGATGATTCACGTGATGAGCCAAAAACGACTGACCTCCCAAAATTCAAATTAGGTCAAAGAAGTTGTTATTCGTCTGCGATTTTGTTTTAGCTGTAGTGGTCCCTCTGGCGGAACCGCTTCATGTAAACGAGGCATGCGACGGACAGGTTTTGCTTTGCATAGCAATCTCGTGACCCCTTTGTGCAATAGAAAAAAACACAACAGAGCAACATTATTCACGTAAACCAGCCGAGATCCCATTGAGGCGATACGTACTGGGAATCTGTGACACTAAGTAGGGTAAAAATATTTTTTTGCTTGATTAAATAACACAAAAACTGTTAAATATTCCAAATGTGTAAATTAACCATCTCACGATAAATCACCGTTCCTAAGAGATCAAGGAAAAACGTTATCAGCAGCGACCTATCTGTGAAACGCCCTTAGGCAACGGGCCATTACCCTAGCATTAGCTAAACACTTGATACATTTGTTCAAGTACAAGCCAATGTTTGTTCTAAGGCATGAAAGTGCTCTCGATCTGTGTTTGTCCACACAAGTGTTGTATTCATTAGGCACAATGCCACTTGCCTTTTAAATTATAAATGAGCTCTGGCTGTACAAAGGTGAGACTGTGATCATAAAAATACAAGCACAAACATAGACAAGACACATTTGAACAGTCAGTCTGCCTTTCCAATGTAACTTGGTGTGGAAATTGTTATTCTCAAGTGTTTTTTTTGTGGATTGTTACCGATTAAACACTTAAATATGGCTGATAAAAGGCAAAAACACATCGGCAAGTGATATCTCTGTTTCTACCGTCTATGCAAAAATAGGGTCCGATTTAGGACAATACGATCCAATTTACGATGGGGTTTCTAGGAATACATTGTTGTAAAAGTCTGGACTGCCAGTATATAGTTTACTGCCAGCAAGTAGATAACGCTGACTGAATCCCAGTGCATTTGATTCCTCAATTTATATAAATATGCTATTCTTTAAATGCTTAATATCTGTATCCAGCGACCAGTGGGAATGAATTGGTAAATCTAAACGATAAGTTTCACCGAGTATTAACGGTTTGGCACTGGAGGAGAAACAACTAAAGTGAAGTGACCATTTCTGAATTCGGTGCATGCTTATGAATGTGGGGTTCACACAATTAGCACAAACTGTAATTCAAATTTTAAAGAGCAACAGAGTTCCCTCCCTACAGACCCATTAAGCTGCTTACCTTCTTCAGCTTTTGGGACTCCACAACTTTAGCTTTCTTCGGGGCAATGACACGACCTATGCACGCATTCGCACACACACACACAGAAGCACATCAAGAGGTTACAATGAAGCATAAGAATGCTCCAGACTAAAATGTGTCAACAGTCCGGTAGAGAATATGAATGCATGTGCAAGTCGACTGAATGTTTATATCTGTTTTTCCAGGGAACAATGTGGAACTCTAGTTATACAGGGACAGTTGATAATTTAGACCTACTTTACAACTTGAGGCAGGTTTGCTAATTATTAAGCCTTGATATAAAAAGGTAAAGGTGCAGCCCAGTAATTACTTGCATAGGCCACTGTTGGCAGAAGGGCCTCCACTACAGGAAGCACAAGAGCCCCTCTGAAGGATATCTGGCCTACTCTTCCACACCGGTCAGACAGTGTAAAAGGTGAGAGTACCCACATTGCACCCCACCACACGTGACCTGCCGATCAGGTGGACAGAGGCCTGGAGGTTAAATAACTTGCCCCATTATTACAACTGCCCTGCCAGGAGTCTGATAGGAAGTCTGGATTAGATTGCAAGGACAGTGTACTAATCATCACACCACAGGCAGCATCTCAGCCTTCATATGAACCTTGTGGCAGGATCCCGAATAAACTTAAGTCAAAATCGTAATGAATGTATTTATTTATGGCGACTCCGTCCCACCGCGCACATAAACGCCGCGACCCACCAGAAATTAATCCTCTCGTTCTTCACCAAGCACCCGTCGCCAAAATTGCCAGTCATAAACAAAACTTTGAAACTTTAACTAGTGCATCGTGTAGAGCTCGTCGAGAGGAATAGATTGCCGTACCGTCCGCCTTCAACAGACATAAGATGACCTCGCAGCGCAGTTTATGCGATGGGGGCTTATGGGACCACGGAGTACCACAATGAGGTCCATATGACCAATAATTAATTTTCTTCTTACGCAACACTTTGAAACAAACTGATTAGCTAAAGCTAAGCAGCTGAATTAGTTGTGGTCTTTGTTCTCTGAAAACAAATCTGTCCTATTGGTTACTTACAGTCTATGTACTAGGAGCAAAATGTGTTCAGAACATGAATGCAGTCAATGAATGGCACCTCTTGACTGTCGTAATGAACAAAAGGAATTGGCGTGCGTCGTTACTCAACACGGTGTTGGGTGTTATTCTCCACTGTGTGCATGAAGCACCGACATGACAGTTAAAAAGACAATTACCAACCCCTTGCATAATCTGGATGGCCCCCTCGAGAAACAAAGTACCCATGGTGAGCGCACATTGAGAAGACGCAAATACACAAGGCTGCCCTGTCTCTCAACAGCTGACTTTCATTCGGGTTGTCAATGTCGTGTATTTACATTACTGGTAAGCATATAGAATAAAACCCGGTAAAAATCGGTTACCGTTTGCATCCACATTATTTATTTTACCCTTCAACTGAGAAAATTAGGGGCGTTTCCGTGGTGTCATGGTTAGCACAATCAACTAGTCTACCGACAGGTCACGTGTTGGGATAAAGTGTGGATAAAGCCCACCTCTTCCAAGACGTACACCGTCAGCGAGGAAGAGTAGACCAAATATCACACTACAGGCTCCTGCGAGTGGCGTGAGTAAGCAATTGCAGAGCTGCATATTTACCTTTTAACTGAGAAACGAGGGCACATTTACCACGCGGTGACATAAGCCGCCGTGCCCTTTGTAGGCTGGCGCGTGCCAATCTTTACACTACTAACATTTCCCCTGAAATCGATGTCACCAGTTCCTGACGTTGTGAACCGGTAATTGATGAGTACAAACGGTTACCGGTTTACGGGTGCCGATAAACCTGAATGGTTTACGTTACGCCACCACACCTAGGGGAGGCACACATGTGCGCCGAAATTTAATTTCATGACGAGTACCAACGAGAGGAAGTCCAATATTTTCTGGGGTTCAGTCGTTGTTCAAATGGCGATCATAGCAAACATTACCATGCCAAGACTGTCTGTGCAAGAACTGTTAGAGAGCACCTTATGACGCCAGACGATAGCAAACAAATGACAGCAAAGGCCATCGAATTTACGACCACACCGAAGTCAACAATCTCCCCGTAGGACAACAGAATGTTGGGGATGTTGTCGTTCACGACCTCGTATTTCATTGGAGGCCGTGGGTTCGATTCCGACCCTGATGTCTGCGGTATATTCGGAGATTGCGGTATCTCTACTCGTGGTCTCGTGGATTTTCCTCCATGTCTTCCCGCTTTTCCCTCCACATTTGGAAACGCGCGTTCAGACTATTTGGTTGCTATAAAATACCACATCACGAGCCATTTAGTTGAGCTATCATTTGTGACAAGGTCGCTTCTGAAAAATAAGTTAACATCTCGGTGGGCTTTTTCCTGGTAAGATTTTTTTTTAAGTTTCGTTTGATTTCTATAGTATTAAGTGACGTTTACCTTTCCTATATTTTGCACCCATATCGTGTATTTCTATTGTTTATTATTGTAAGGTTCTGACCCGCCCCTCTTGGACATGTCCAGAAATATTATTATTCTGAGCAATGGTTTGGCCAGCACCAGGCTCGACCACCTTTGTCTCCCCTGTGCTGACCTTCGCACACACACACTGCACCATCAAATAGCGAATCATTTCAGACCGAGTCGGGGAGACCCAGGGCAGGTTGAGACAATGAGACATTTCGCCGTCGTGGCCGCGAATAGAATTCGGGTGGACGCAAGGTTTGTGGCGCAGTGCGCTAACCACTGCACCACCGCTCTCCCGTACAATATCTCACGATTTCATCTTAACACACACGGGGGGGGGCAGCCTTATTGAGGCTCAATGAGCCCCAATAGCCATTGTAAGCGCCACTGTGCGATTGGCTTTGTAAGCCCCATGATGATTGCGAGAGGGGGGGGGGGGGCGAGGCTTTTATATTTTCTCTCCCAAAACAACGACAAAGATCCCCCGTTTCGCTTTAACATAATCTTAGTGCAATTGCTGCTAGCGAACACCTATTCCATATCTATATACCGCACACACGATTACCGCAAGCGGACCTCTTAACTGTGGCTCATTGAGAAGACTGCGCAACGTGTTAAGGGGGCAGAGGAACGACGCGGATAGCGTCCAATTGTCGAGACATCTTACGGGCAAATTAAAGTCACCGGGCTGGGTCAAAGCAGCCAGCCCAGCCCCAGAACGAACCCACGTGGAGGACACAAACGCACGTGGAGGGCACCGTCACCGCGGAGACGGAGCGAATTTAAAGATTTAAATTCACGTGCGAAACGAGCGTGATAGCGACAAGGCCTCCATCTAGCAGTGGATGGACAATGGCTCGCTGCTGACGCCGCCGATGATGATGACGATGATGTGGAGCCTAAGGATCGCACGACGCCATCCCAACAACAACAACAACGACGACGACGACTGCGGTTCGACCGCCAAATCATCCTCTCGCCCACCTCCCTTCTTGGGACTTTTGGCCTTTGCGGGCTGCGCCGACTTCTGCTTCTTGCCCGTGGCTGCACGCGCCTTCGCCTTCAGCTTCAGGTTGCCCTGCGCCATCGCGACCCTCACAGTCGGCGGAGCGGGAGGAGGACGAGGACGACGACGACAACGACACGGAGCCTGGATCGATTCCCGCGACTGTGAATCGGGTGGTTAATGAACGATGTCGATTCGATTCCGCGATTCGCACCCCCGCCCCCGCCCAGTAACGTTAAGCAGCCCGTGGGCTGTGGAATCGAGTGGTTTGTCGATTCCTCGAGAAGCGATCCACGCGTTTGTTGCCATTACAGAGGTTTTTTTTCCCTCTGACCTCGAGAAATATGGCGGATTTATATTTTTTCAAGGGGATTTTTGTTTTGTTTATTGGTGTGGGGGATTTACAAAAGGGGGGGGGGGCGGAACTGTAGCACCCTGCATTTAGCTCGAAATAGTTAATATTCTCAGGTGGCTGGTTTGGTGATGCCGTCATCCAGCAGTGGATTGCTCATGGTGGATACTGAACATATATACTGGATTTTCATTTGCCGGAAGTTGTGATGATGCGTGCAAGCGATTACTACTGCCAAGCTTCACTGAGCCACAAAGAGTCCCAACACTTTCAGTTGGTGCGTGTCATATTGAAAACTTTACAAATGGAAATGAAAAACACCGTTTCCGCCGGACAATCAGTCGGTCTGGCTCGCTGTGGCCCTTTCGATGCCGCAATTGTTCGCCGATTTAGATGTGGAGATGTCCCCCTCAAATAGAGTGTCGAGATTCCTCATTGGTGGGCAGCCACGGTGCCGCCATTTTGTTTTAAAATGGCCGCTGGAAGGGGCCCTCCCACAAAATGAGAGAGGGGCAGGTTGAGGGTCACCTTGCCCATTCTACAAGGGCTGGTGGGAGATCACAAAACAGCTACAAGTTTTTGGCACAAATATAATTGAGTTGCCCCTTACAACTGTAGAAAGCTGCAATTAGCTTTTTTGGGGCCCTTCAGTTTGGTCTCCCAAAATGGGGAGGGAGGCTAAGGGCTACCAGGGCAGTGCGTACAAATACAGCAGAGTCGATACTCGAAACCAGAACATAAAAAAATTGGAATATTATTGTATTCAAACAAAACTTGTTGTATTTTACCAGGTAAAGCCCACTGAGCTGTATTGCTCTTTTTTTTTGAAAAACGACCCGGCCACAAATGATAGCCCCACGAAGTGGCTTTTCATGTGGAAATGTACAGCACACAAATACTTAGTGCAAACGCATGATTCTAAGTGTGGAGGGAAAACCCAGAGAAAATCCATGTGACCACGGCGAGAGAGACATGGAAACTCCATATATACAGGCGTCAGGGTCGTTGATCGAATCCACGACCTTTATACCAAGTGATGGAGATAACATCTCGCCACCGTGGCTCCCTGTTAGGGCTCCCCAGAATAGGAGGGGGTGAGTTAGCTGACACTTCTAGAAAATTTAGAGCTGAAATTTGCAACAAAAAAGTCGAGCCAATACAACGAGAATATGCTAAAACTTTCAATTTTCGAATTTTATTGGGCCCCCAAAATACACATTGTAATGTTGGGTTAAAATAATGATCGCTGGATATGATTCCGGCGGGAATTAACAGTACATCACTCAAGAAGATGTGTAATGGGTATTACACAAAGAATAACATGTATATATTTAAAATAAAAAACTTTTTTAAAAGCTGATAAATTAAAAAAACCAAAGAGTAAAAAATAAAATGTTCATGCAATAGATCTTCCAAATGGCAACCCAACTACCAGTTCAGCTGACAGTTGTATCCATCTTCCTATGCATTGCCAAAATATTTTCTGTGATCAGGGTAACTCGGTTAACACTTTTCAGTGTCATATAGAATTCATAATCAACGTTTTTGGGTTAGATCACGTTACTTATAAATGTGTCGTAACCCTCCACCACCCGACACGGCCAATCAGCAAAAAAAGTGTCACGTTGACAAAAAAACAAATAGTTCACTACTTTAGCCCACCGGTGTGTTGAAGCGTGAAATCACAACATTTACAATTTTTGAGTACAACGTTTCGCTGGTAATTACATCCAGCATCATTGGGCAATTCGCCAGAATGGTGAGGCTCTGCTCTTGCTCCCGGTCTTGCTGGATGCAATTACCAGCAAAACGTCGTACTCAACCCTCCACCACCGTGTCGGGTGGTGAAGGATTACGACACATTTATAAATAACGCGATCTAACCCAAAAACGTTTATTATGAATAATATTGGTCGCGAAAGCCTACGTGTTAAACTGGCATATAGAACTTGAACCAGTTAAGATGTTTAAGTGCTGTACTGTTCTAGAATAATGCAACTGCCCTTGGATTGCTAAGAAGTAATGTAGTATATTATAAAATTGCTTGATTGGCAAGGGGTGCTACAGAGTACTACTCTAGTGCATTGGTGGCCCATACACCAAGCACTCTGATCCATTCTGGGGTATCTCAACAGGCTCCGCGAACATCAAATGCTAGTGGGATATATTGATAGATGCTATTATGTTCTTTAATGTTTTAATTCCTAGTCTCGGGTTTTTTTTGCCATCAGCTGTAAAGAAAATAGTTTTATCCTCATATTAATGTTTTGATTTTTCCTGAGATCTGCATAAAGTGTTTACGATCCACCCATGGAATGCGATGTATGTGTAGCGACATATATTGGGTCACTACTGCGTCTAGCGAGAGTCACTGACAGGAGAGTGGAATTGTGTGTTTGAGAGCCTCTCTCAAATACAAGTGTATGTTATGGCATGGAAGGGGACTCTCGGGAGCAGGGTCCCGGGTGGCTGTCAGGGAGAGACAGTCGAGGACGTGACAGTATAGAGCAGGCGTGTTAAAAGTCCGGCCCGCGGGCCAATCACGGCCCGCGGGCAGATTTCATACGGCCCGCAGCTTCGGTCTTATAATGTGTTATTTACGGCTCGCTAGCTCTGTCAGAATAAATAAATTCCTCTTTCCGCCACACGGTGGCAGCACCATTCTAATGCTCTCTAATTTTGCATCCGTGCCGCGAACCCTTCTCGAATCATTTCTGCCATGGCGACTGCAAAAAAAAAGAGAAACGTTGACAGTGAGGGCCGCCGCTTTCAGGAGCGGTGGGAATTACGATACTTCTTCACTGGAAATCGAGGAAATTGTGTTGTTTAATTTGTAAAGAGACGGATGCCTTGTTTAAGGATTTCAACATAAAGAGACACTACGAGACTAAACATGCTACAACATACGACAAGCTAACAGGGAGTGACCGCGCTGAAAAAGTAAAGCAACTTCAAGCTGCTCTGGCATCGCAACAGCGATTCTTCACGCCGACCTGTGAGTCAAAGGAAAACATCACCAAAGCCAGCTACGAAGTGACCATATTAATAGCTAAACATGGCAAACCTTTTACTGAAGGCGCGTTTATCAAATACTGTGTCATTAAAATGGTGGAGAACATTTTCCCCGAGAAGAAGCAAGAATTTATTAATGTTTGCCTGGCACGCAACACTGTGGCATGGAGAGTTGAGGACATATCGTCAGATATTACGAGACAACTGGCTTTTGATTATTTCTCATTAGCCTACGATGAAAGCACCAATGCATCTGACACTGCACAACTACTTATTTTTTTAAGAGGAGTTGATGACAACATGAACGTGACAGAGGAACTGCTTGACCTCAAAAGCCTTAAAGGGCAAACCAGAGGAACAGCTGTATTCGTTTCTGTTTGTGAAGCTGTTGATGATATGAAACTACCATGGAGTAAAGTTTCTGGGATCATTACCGATGGTGCACCTGCCATGGCTGGTGAGCGAAGTGGATTGTTCACACTGATCTGCAATAAAGTCAGCGAAGAAGCAGGTAATGCTATTAAACTTCACTGTATCATTCACCAGCAGGCTCTCTTGCGCCAAACATCTCAAATTTGACGATGTTATGAAACCAGTGGCAAAGGCAATCAATTCTATTCGCTCTGAAGCTCTATACCACCGACAGTTTCAGCAGTTCTTGCGTGACATCCAGGCTGAATACGGTGACGTAATATATCAACGATGTGAGGTCGCTAAGTCGGGGGTCCGCACTGCAGCGATTTTTCTCTCTCAAAGAGGAAATTTGACATTTTTTTGGTGAAAAGGGACAACCAATGGAATAACTGTCCGATCCTGTATGGCTGGTAAATCTGGTTTTTTGGTTGACATGACGAAGGGAAAGATGCAGTGGTGAGCCAGCTATATGCTCACACCAAGGCCTTTGGAACCAAACTGCAACTTTTCCAAAGACACTTGTCCCAAACAGAGCCCTGCACCGCGCACTTCCCAGCTTTGAAAGAGGTAATTGACAGTTTCTCACAGGACAACATCGGTGCGCAAATGAAGAGTTATGCAACAGCTATCGCATCTCTTTCTCTGGAATTTAACAAACGCTTTCGGGACTATGCAGTTATTGAAAAGGACATGTTGCTTTTCTCTTCTCCCTTCTCCGTGGACCCTGATGATGCTCCTCCACAGCTGCATCTGGAGCTAATTGAGCTGCAGTTTGACGATGAGTGCCGTGGGAAACACCAGCAGTGTTCTCTTGTTGACTTTTACCGGCAGCTGGACAAAAGCAGGTTTCCAAAAATGCGGTCATTCGCTAAGAAAATTATGTGGTTATTCGGCTCTACATATTTGTGTGAGCAAACATTCTCAGTCATGAACTTAAATATGAACCGATTTAGGTCAAGGATGAGTGACTCCAAATTGCGTGGCATTTTATGCATCTCAACCACTGCCTTCAAGCCCGACCTGGTCTCTTTACTAAAATCTAGATCTCAGTATCACCCTTCTCATTAGTGTCAGCAAGTTATCTGTTCTTTGATCAATCTGAAATTGAGTGTTTTGAACGGTAACATCTGTCACTATTAACAGTGAAAAGCCTAAAGCACACTAATGCACTTGGACTTATGACACTTGTTTTTATTAAACTCTTGAATAATATTTGGTTATAACTGTTGATGTTATGTACCTGTAGATGTGACACAAACTCCTGGTTTCTGAAAGATCTTGTAAAAGACAACATTCACTTGTTTTAAAGTTTAATGATAACAGACCACTTTGCATTACTTATAACTCCTGTTTAAAATGTTCATGAGGCAAATATATTTAACTCATGGAAATTTAAGGTAT